TGAGCGGTCCCGGTCTGAGCAGGGCTGAGCTCTGCCCAGTCACCGCTGCACTGAGCGGTGCCCAGTCTGAGCAGGGCTGAGCTCTGCCCAGTCACCGCTGCACTGAGCGGTCCCAGTCTGAGCAGGGCTGAGCTCTGCCCAGTCACTGCTGCACTGAGCGGTCCCAGTCTGAGCAGGGCTGAGCTCTGCCCAGTCACCGCTGCACTGAGCGGTCCCAGTCTGAGCAGGGCTGAGCTGTGCCCAGTCACCGCTGCACTGAGCAGTCCCGGTCTGAGCAGGGCTGAGCTCTGCCCAGTCACCACTGCACTGAGCGGTCCCAGTCTGAGCAGGGCTGAGCTGTGCCCAGTCACTGCTGCACTGAGCGGTGCCCGGTCTGAGCAGGGCTGAGCTCTGCCCAGTCACCACTGCACTGAGCGGTGCCCGGTCTGAGCAGGGCAGAGCTCTGCCCAGTCACTGCTGCACTGAGTGGTGTCCGGTCTGAGCACGGCTGAGCTCTGCCCAGTCACCACTGCACTGAGCGGTGCCCGGTCTGAGCACGGCTGAGCTCTGCCCAGTCACTGCTGCACTGAGTGGTCCCGGTCTGAGCACGGCTGAGCTCTGCCCAGTCACCACTGCACTGAGCGGTGCCCGGTCTGAGCAGGGCTGAGCTCTGCCCAGTCATCACTGCACTGAGCGGTGCCCGGTCTCTGCGAGCCCAGCGTGGGGCCCCGTGCGCGGGGAGCCCCTTGCTGGCCCCCATGCCGTGACCGCCCCCCCCCCGCAGGCTTCCTGGCGCTGCTGGGCCTGGCCGTGTACACGGCGGTGACCGTGAGCGCGTTCGGGCAGCGCCAGCCCGACTGGCGCTTCTCCTGGTCCTACATGCTGGGCTGGGTGGCCGCGGTGCTGCTGCTCTCGGCAGGTAGCGGCGGCGGCGGGGGCTGCGCGGGCCCCTGCGCCCCGGGCCCCCCCACGGCCGCCTCTCGCGCCCCCAGGGCTCTTCCACGTCTGCGCCGCCTCCAAGGACCCGAGCCCCGAGAGCTCCGAAGCTGCCTGAGGGGGCCGGGGCCGCCCCCCGCCGGCCCGCCCCG